AAGAGGAAGTGGCAGTAAACAAGTTAGGTTGTGAGAAAAAACTTGCTGAAAACATTTACCTAGAAAGCAAACGTTGAGCAGGTCAACTCTTTCCAGCCTACGTAACGGGCTCATAAAACTTAATCAAGTAAGATTATAAGATACATTGGGTATTAGGAGACAATGAAGACTGGCTGTGATAAGTTATCCCTATTCAGGACTAATATATGGAAAGATTCCGAAATTTCGGTTGTTAGAAAAATGTTAATATTGAAACCATGAAGGGATCCGTACGGAAAAACGACCACAGATAGAAAAAACATGATTGAACAGTTACGAATACAAGGGCATTTCGTTTGAGGTTGATGCTAATTCACTTATCGGTCGGAGACATGTTGTGTGTAACAGATAGATTTGACTTTTATCGGACGAAAAAGTCATGCACAGCTTTCGAAAAAAAAGCAGGAGGCCTAGATACTGCAAAGTTTACAATCAGTGTAAATCTCCAATTGGTACTTTTCCTTATCCTAAGATCACAGGATTCGAAATTAAGGGACAAAAATCTGGACTTTGCAGCACGTTGAAGATCACACTGCAGTTGTACCTTCTTATACTACAATTTTTGGCTGCGACCATCGATATTTCCTTTTATTTTTCTTCTTCTTCAATATTCCCCTGTATAAACCACTGGGTAGCCCCAGCGTCGATGCCTGATGCATGAATTTGTCTGTATTGAGGCAGACTTTTGCAGCATCCATCGCAATTATTAATCCCTTAGCCACCTATCCCCGGTTACACCATTGGGTCAGCACGATCAGAGAGAGACTAGGGCCCAGTGACTGAGGAAACGAAACTGACTGTCTACGCGTCTTACGCACGACTTGGTCCTCACAAAGTGAAGTACGTTTCTTTAGGGCGCATAGGCGAGACTGCAATGAAAACTATATTAAGAAGGAGTCGTTATCATCTGATCCCCAGTCCTGAGAAGGACCCCGTTATCTCGTCAGTTAGTAAATTTTCAAGCAATGATTCAGCGCGTCATGACGGATTCAAGTGCTTCGGATGTATTGTGGTGAGGAATGCATTTACTCGTGGCAGAGGTAGAGTCTACATTGTCAATCACACTCTTTCCTCCCGCTCAAATGCACTAGTCAACTGTTCGAGCTTTGGTGCAGTGGTTGATAGCCCGCCTATGTATGTCGAACACATCCTGGTCCCCACTTCACGCGCCAGGCTAACCAGGGAACATACCTCCCACTTAATTTGAGTGTGAACGCTCCGACATGCGATGTTTGGCCTAAAAAACTGGTCAATCGTATGCCTGCTGCCGAAATTATTCAGCATATGTTACGGAGACGTATTGTGTATGCGCGTGTTGTGGAACAGGTTTGCGTGCAACCCAGATGCAGATAGGGCGAACTGGTTTTATTGAATCTGGACTGTTTTATTTTATCAAGGATTTTCATTGAGGTGCATATGGCCAAGCTAACCTATACGATGACCAAGTGTCCTGAAACGGTGTAGGCAGGTGAGCGTGTGAGCCTCAAAGCAATGGATTTCCAGATATCCGACCAGGCCGATGTGTGATGAGGTGTGATCCGAACGGAGACGGGTTAAAATTGAGTTTACGTAGCTGCTGACACGGGGACTTATGGTAATAATTTGCAGGACGGCAGGTTATTTCTTATAGGTGTTGCTAGTGACGCTGGGATAGGTTTTTTGCGAGATAAGGAGAGGGTTAGTCATGTTCACATTGCACTGCGACCGCAAATGTTTAAGACCCCTCCGTTCGCGTTATGTCTGTCGGCAGTATGAATATGATAACAGGGGTT